TATATACACATATATATATATATATACATATATATCTTTAATACCTATTATGTATTATATATATATATATATATATATATATATATGTCTATTTGCTTGCCATATTTCCATGCAGTTTAATACAGCAGTGGGCAGTATAGATATATAAGTGTAAAGTACAAAATATGAAAATAAATAAAAATATAAAATACATAAATATAAAGACAAATATAAGTTTGTAAATATAAATATAAATGTGTATAATTACAAATGTGAAGGCAAATATAAATATATAAATATAAATATAAACACAAAAAGGGAAATATGAGTTTATAGATGTAAATATATAAATATATAAATATATAAATAGAAATATGAAAACAAATATAAGTTTACAAACATTAGTATAAATATGCAAATACAAATACAAAGACAAATATAAGTATATAAATGTAACCATAAGTAAATAGACAAATAGAAGTTCATATATATAAATATAAATATATAAATATAAATATATAAATACAAATATATAAATATAAATATATAAATATAAATATATAAATATATAAATATATAAATATAAATGTATAAACATAAATAGAATAAGTATAAAGATTTGCACTTTGAGGATTTATTTGGTTTTCGCTGCAGCAGCAGCAGCAGGCAAACATGACGTGCACTTTGAGGATTTATTTGGTTTTCGCTGCAGCAGCAGCAGCAGGCAAACATGAGCATTCTTTGAAAGCGTTTCTTTAATTTAATTCTTTGAAATGTTTTTAATTATTTAAATCTTCAACGATTTAATTAATTAAATTAATTAAATTAATTATTTAATTATTTATTTAACTATTTAATTATTTAATTATTAATTATTTAATTATTTATTCAAAACTTTTTTATTTTTATTTTTCTGCAGCTGCGGAGTCGAACAGAAAGAAAAGTGACAACTATTTTCGTTTGGTTTTTGCCCGCCTGGATTGTGCAGGTCAGTCTTTTATTTGTTTTTAATTATTTAATTATTTAATTATTTAACTATTTAATTATTTAATTATTTAATTAATTTAATTAAATTAATTAAATTAATTAATTAAATTAGTTGTTTTTAATTGTTTTTAGTTGTTTTATTTTATTTATTTTTATTTCTTTGTTCTCCCGAGGAGCAGCTAGCGAGGGAGTTCAGTTTGGGCAGTTCTTAACGAGCAGCAGCAGCACTGCAGCAGCAGCACTGCAGCAGCAGCACTGCAGCAGCAGCAGCAGCAGCACTGCAGCAGCAGCAGCAGCAGCAGGACAGGCAGATTTGGGAGCAGCACGAGCAGCAGCAACGCAGGCACAGAAACACAAACAGCAACACCAGCAGCAGCAGCGGGGGCGAAACCTCTGCAACGAAAGAGACGCGAGTTGCTGCTTCTGCTGCTGCTGCTTTTGCTGCTGCTGCTGCTGCTGCTGTTGCTGCTGCTGCTGCTGCTGCCTTTAGGAGCTGGAGGGAGGGCAGCCGGAGAAGGCGAAAGACGCAGAAGAGGAAATGCGTTTTGCAAATCCAGACAGCGACATGGAAGAGGCGCTGCCGCCAGCAGCAGCAGCCAGCAGCAGCAGCAGCAGCAGCAGCAGCAGCAGCAGCAGCACGGAGGGGGAAGAGGGCGGCCTGGTGACCAATGGTTCAAATATGGCCTACGAGCAGCAGCAGCAGCGCCCCGGGGCACAGCCGCAAGCGACTGCAAAGAAAAGAAGAGTAAATTATTTTTTATTTTTATTTTTATTTTTTTCATTTTTCTCATTTTGTCATTTGCTTCAGTGGTGGCGCAGCAGCAGCTGCTACTGCTGCTGCAGCAGCAGTAGCAGCAGCAGCAGCAGCTGCTGCTGCTGCTGGCGTTGTTGTCTTCTGTTGGGTTTTGCGTGATGAGCCGAGAGCGGCTTGTGGCTCTCATTTGAATTTATTTTTGTTTTTCATTTTTTATCTTTTGCTGCTGCTGCTGCTAGTGCTTTTTATTCGGCAGTTAATGGTTTGCTGCTGCTGCTGCTGCTGCTGCTGCTAGTTCCTGTGTCTTTTATTCGACAGTGAATGGTTCGCTGCTGCTGCTGCTGCTGCTGCGGCTGCAAGTTCCCGTGTTTTTTATACGACAGTGAATGGTTTGCTGCTGCTGCTGCTGCTGCTGCTGCTGCTGCTGCTGCTGCTGCAGTCCGCTGCGGGTTTGCCTTCGAGTTTGGCGGCTTCGAATTCTTTCTTCGTGATGGTGGCGCCTCTGGTGAAGTACCAGTCGGGTGAGAGGGCAGAAGTGCATTTATTTCGTTTTAAAGTGGAATAAAATAAATAAATTAATAATAATAATAATAATAATAATAATAATAGAATAAATAAGAAACAAAAAAGATGCAATTCCTTCAGCAAACCGAAAAAGTTGAATTGGCGGCGAAAGCTGAATGTGGCTGGGGTGTACGTACACCCCAATGCACCGGCAGCGTCGGCACTTCGGAAAAGTTGAATTCCGCGGATTTCAGTCGCTTTTTTTTCGTTTTTTTTCTGAACTTGAGTTTATTTTTGAATTATAATTCCGAATGGAAGAGTGTTCTGCGCTGGCGCGCCCGCTTTCGCAGAGCCGCGGCTGCACGGCTCCTGGATGCCCGTGCTGCGGCTGGTGACTCCCACCACCACCTGCAGCGAACTCTACGCTGCTGTCGGCGCAGCTTTCTTCAGCAGCAGCTCTTCGGGAGATTCTGCTGCTGAGAACGGGGGCCCTTCGAGCCCAGCAGCAGCAGCAGCAGCAGCAGCAGCAGCGCACGGCGAGGAGCCGCTGCAGCAAAAGTCCAAAATATCTGGAGTCTTCACCCAGGCCGTAGAGGCCCTCAACAAGACCTTCGGACCCGCACAGGGAGAGCCCAACGTTAGGAAGTGGAAGCTGCAAGTGGTAAGCTGCTGCTGCTGCTGCTGCTGCTGCTGCTGCTGCTGCTGCAGTGCTGCTGCAGTGCTGCTGCTGCAATGCTGCTGCTGCTGCAATGCTGCTGCAATGCTGCTGCAGTGCTGCTGCAATGCTGCTGCTGCAATGATGCTGCTTCTGCAATGCTGCTGCAGTGCTGCTGCTGCTGCAATGCTGCTGCTATGCTGCTGCTGCTGCTGCTGCTGCTTCCGCTTTGAATGGGTTTCTTGTTAACTAATTTGGTCAGCGTTTTATAAAATGGAAATAAAGTTTTGTCCGTTTTTGCTGCAGATGGCTCTGGTGTATTTAGACCTCTCGGGGATGGACAGTTTGCCGGGCGTGCTGAGCAGCAGCAGCAGCAGCAGCAGCAGCAGCAGCAGCAGCAGCAGCGGGGGCTCGCTGGAGCAGCAGGGCTCGCTGGTCAGCAGCATTGTGTCTTTGGGCACTGTTAGGCAGCCCCACAAAATCCAACTGGCGGATTGTCTGCAGCTTTTTTCAGAAAAAGAAATTCTAGACCAAGACAACATGTGGTGAGGGTTTAGGGTTTAGGGTTTAGGGTTTAGGGTTTAGGGTTTGGGGTTAGGGTTTGGGTTTGGGGTTTAGAGTTGGGGTTTACGGCTTGGGTTTAGGGCTTGGGGTTAGGGTTTAGAGTTAGGGTTAGGGTTCAGGTTTTGGGGTTTAGGGTTTAGGGTTTAGGGTTTAGGGTTTAGGGTTTAGGGTTTAGGGTTTAGGGTTTCTTCTGTCGATGGCTTTTACTGTGCACTTTTGTATTTCTTCTTTTTGCAATTTTACACAAATTAATTTTAAAATGCATTTTTAAATTTAAATGCAACTTAAGGATTTATTTTAGTGGCCATGCATGCGTTTAAATGCACTTTAATAAACAAATAAAATTTAAAATGAAATTAAAAACGAAATTAATAAAATTAAAAATGAAATTAATGAAATTAAAAGTAAAATTAAAAATGAAATTAAAGACGGAATTAAAAAAGGAATTAAAAATGCAATTAAAAATGAAAATTAAATTCGGAAATAAATCCCATTTGTCTCTGCATGCAGCAGCTCTTTTGCATTTCTGAAATTTTATTTTTAATTTTTGACTTTTAGTTTAATTGCAGCTTTTGCCCTTCTTAGCAGCAACTTGAGTTCAACTTTGCTGCTTCTTTTCTTTTAAATTAATTTTTAATTTTTAATTTTTAATTTTTAATTTTTGATTTTCAAATTTTGAATTTGAATTCGGAATTCATTTCGGGTGTCTAGACACCTGCGTTGCGCGGGTCAGTTTCGCTGCCGCTTCCCGCGGAGTGTATTTCCGGTTTGTTCGTTTATTGTCCATTTTATGGATTTAATTATTAAATTTAATCATTTAATTGAATTATTTTATTTATTTTTATTTATTTTTATTTATTTATTTCATTTATTTTGTTTGTTTTGCACTTCTTTCAGGTACTGCAGCACCTGCCGCAAGCACGTGCAGGCGCAGAAGAAGCTGGACTTGTGGCGAATGCCTCGCGTCTTGATTTTGCATTTGAAGCGTTTTCACAACGTGAAGTGGGTTTTATTTCTTTTTATTTCTTTTTTATTTCTTTTTATTTCATTTATTTCTTTTTTATTTCATTTATTTCTTTTTTATTTCATTTATTGCATTTATTGCATTTAATTTGCTTTTAATTTCTCCAAAATCGACCATTTTGAGCGGCTTTCCTGTGCGCCGTTGGGGTGTATGTACAGCCGGTGGAGCCGCTCCAAGACGAACACGCGCGTCTGCTTTCCGTACAAAAGTCTGTCAGTTAAATTAAATTCATTTTAATTCTTTTTAATTTAATTTCTTTTCAATTCTTTCTGCTTTTTAGCCAACTGTTCAAGCCTCTGCAGCAGCAGCAGCAGCAGCAGCAGCAGCAGCAGCGCAGCAGCAGCAAAGTGCCCAGCTAGACTGAGCAAAATGAAAACAATTAAAGTTCAAATTAAATTTAAAAAAAGTCTAAAAGCCCTTATTGGGCCAACTTACTGCGGCCACAAATTGCGAATTGTTTTAAAAGTTCTTTTTTTGAAGTTTAATTTCTTTTCATTTTCGCGAGAAGTTAAATTAATCCAATAAAGGCTCTTAGCAGCAAAAGAAAGTCTTTCTTTCATTTCTTTTTTTCCTCCTTCCATTTCTTTTCTATTTCTTATTTCATTTCTTTTGTTATTTCTTATTTCATTTCCTTTTTATTTCTTATTTCTTTTTTATTTCTTATTTCATTTCTTTTTTGTTTCTTTCACTTCCTTTTCTCTTTCATTTCTTTCTCTGCATCATTTCCTTTTCTTTCTGTCTTTGATTTCTTTTCTTTTTTCTTTTTTCTTTTTTTCCAGCTGGGGAATATCTGGACATGAAGAAGTTTATTCTTCCTGGAGGCCTTGAGCAGTTGCGGGAAGAAGATGTGAGTCCTGGGGTGTCTGTACACCGCGTTGGGTGTCTGTACACCTCACGGCGTTTTGCTCTTCACTTTTATTTCTTTTTATTTCTTTTTATTTCTTTTTTTTTCATTTCTTTTTTTTTCTTCCAATTCTTCCCAAAGCTGTAATTGCAGAGCCCCTTATCTAATATGAAGTGTATATATATATATTATATTACATAGAAATGTAATATATATAATATAAATAAATATATTATATATATTATATATATAATATATATAAATAATAATATATATTTTTAGAACATCTTTTACACTAAAAAGTAATAACTGAGACTGTGGGGAAGTTTTGCTTTTGAATTAAAAGTTCGGCTTTTAAGCAGCGCTGGAAGAGAACAAACTTGAGGGAATTAAAACAGTTCAACTTCATTCAGTTTGTTAATTCCATTAATGAATTAATTGATTTAAATGAATTAAATGAATTAAATGATTTAAATGAATTAAATGATTTAAATGAATTAAATGATTTAAATGAATTAAATGATTTAAATGATTTAAATGAATTAAATGAATTAAATGAATTAAATGAATTAATTGAATTAAATGATTTAAATGATTTAAATGAATTAATTGAATTAAATGAATAAATGAATTAAATGAATTAAATGAATTAAATGAATTAAATGAATAATTGAATTAATGAATAAATGAATTAAATGAATTAAATGAACTAAATGAATTAAACTAAACAAAAGAATAAATGAACAAATGAATTGAACTAAACAAAAAAACAAATGAATTAAACTAAACAAATGAACAAATGAATTAAACTAAACGAATAAATGAATTAAACAAAACAAAAGAACAAATGAATTAAACTAAAATGAATCAAACAAAGCAAAAGAACAAATGAATTAAACTAAACAAATGAACAAAAGAACAAATGAATTAAACTCCTCAAAACTCCAAAGTTGGCCCAAAGACCCAAAAGGGAATCCCAAGTGTGGGGCGTGGGGTGTACGTACAGCCGAGCTTCAACCCGCTGTACGAACTCGTGGCCGTAAATGTCCACTCGGGCGAACTCGGCGGCGGCCACTACTTCGCCTACACCAAAATCCGCGGCCAGTGGTCTGCTGCTGCTGCTGCTGCTGCTGCTGCTGCTGCTGCTTCTGCTCTTTGCTGCTGCTGCTGCTGCTGCTGCTGCTGCTGCTGCTGCTGCTGCTGCTTTTGCTCTTTGCTGCTGCTTCTGCTTTCTAGCTCGCCCTGCCTTCCTCTTTATTTATATATTTGCATATATATGTGTTTGTATATATATATCTATATATATGTACATGTATTTGTATATATAGATACATATATATATATATATATATATATATATATATATATATATATATATATATATATATATATATATATATATATTGTATATGTGGTGTTTATGAATGTGTGGGAGTTGTCGTGAATTCATATTGTTTGGCCCTGAGTGGGCGTTTGCATTTCTTTAAATTTGATTTATTCATTTTGGGTTTTGGTTTGCTCCGGGGTGTACGTACACCTGGTGCATGCGCCGGGTCTGAAGTTTGAAAGCGAAGTGTAAATGCAAATCCGACAGAAGATTATTAATTTATTGTGCATTTAACTTCATTATTTTGCATTTAATTTTATTATTTTGCATTTAACTTCATTATTTTGCATTTAACTTCATTATTTTGCATTTAACTTCATTATTTTGCATTTAACTTCATTCTTGTGCATTTAACTTCATTATTTTGCATTTAACTTCATTATTTTGCATTTAATTTTATTATTTTGCATTTAACTTCATTATTTTGCATTTAACTTCATTATTTTGCA